TTCCACTGCAGTGGAGATCATGAATAGGTTAGTAAAGTACAGTTAAGGGGGGTTTTAGATTAGGTTTTAGATTAGGTTTTAGATTAAGTTAGCTTTCGTACTTAAAAATAAAATTTAATTGGGAATGAAATTTTATTTTTCCGAGAAGGGGTGTGTTGTAGCATGCACTTTTTACCTGCTACGTTTGATAGTCAAAAATAACATTTTAAATCTAAATTTTTATTCAATTTCACAAATTTAAATATATACTATATTTTTACTAGGAACGACACTTTTTGGAACAACACTGTTTTCATGTATTATCTGCAATTAAAAGGTTTTAATTAGCTATTCGTGTGATTTTGCACTGCATTTACCTTGTTTGATACTTAATCAACTGATCACTGGTTGAGTATTAGACATTTGCTGTCAAGTGGTGCCACGATAGTTTTTGAGAACTGATTACATTTTTATGCAGATCGGGTGACTTGGGTGTCTGACTTTTGTTTTGCAGTTATCCGCAGAGGAGCCTGGAGGTCGACAAGCTCAAGCAAACCGGTTGTTTTTTCCTAAAGGTCCTTTTTTCCCTTATATTTTATCCTTAACCTTCAGTATAACCTCTAAAAAACAAAAATCTTCTATTAACGTTTTTATTTCCATTTACCTTGGTTTTTGGCTGTAGCCGAGTGTGTATTTCATCGAATATGTAATCTGCGTTTCTTTTACCTTGCTACAGTCCTCATTTTCTGAATTTTTCTCAAACGAAATAGCGGTGGTTTGTTGTTTACTTCAATGACAGTTGGCATGTAATGTTGGTTGCGTCTGGTGGAAGGCGCGCCGCGCATGCGTGACTTTTAAACCGGCGATTTTCTTGGGGTGCTGCGTTCTTTCCGTTGAAGACTCGATGAAAGCTACATGCCGACGTGAGATAAGTTGAGTGCCAGGAATATTGAAGTCCTTACCGTGGGGTATTTCACTTTTATCGTGCTAAGTTGCAGTAAGAGCATTGTTCGCTTTCAATGACTGCGTGAGACGCTGTAATTTTGGAAATTTCACGAAAAACGCTGCGGCGTGCCTTTTCTTAACCTCAACTTGGTAAGTTTTTCTACCTTTATTTCGAGCATCGGTTTTAAGTCCGTTTATTTTATTCTTCCAATTAGTTTCTACTCGGCATGTATACCTATTAGTGACCATATTTCTTGGATTTGACGATAATTTCCCGGATTTGACGATAATTTCCCGATGATGACCTGTTTTTACCGATTGTGACTTGACTGATTTCAAATTATCTCCATGCCAGATTATTAAATCTGTAAGTTGTGGACTGTGTTCAGTCAGGGAGTAGCTTTTACAACCTTATTTACTTTTAGGGCATGTACCTTGTAGTAGGATTTTACCAAATATATCTTCCACCCTATTTTGTCACCTTTAACATCAAATCAACCTGATGCCCAGATCAGCTGTTCCTCTACACTTCTACCTACCGACCAACACGAAACCGATGCTGGAGCTTGTCACCACCAAGGTTCACCACCCGGAGCAGCAACACTTGGAGTCAGGATTATGTGTGTAGAATTTTAGAAACATTTAACATTTAAGGTAACCTTTTTGTCTCGGTCATAGCGCCGCTTAACCTTTTTTGTCTCGGTCATAGCACCGCTTAACTATTTTTTTGTCTCGGTCATAGAACCGCTTTACCCATTTTTGTTACGGTCATAGAACCGCTTTACCCATTTTTGTTTCGGTCATAGAACCGCTTCACTATTTTTGTTTCGGTCATAGGACCGCTTAATTATTATATGTAAACCATCGATACGTATCGTGAGGTACCTAGTATGCACAAGTGTTTATTTAGTTTGATTTAATTTTCACATGTTCAATCGAACAATAGTTTGATTTAATTTTTACATGTTCAACCGAAACAACAGTCCAATTAAACCCAATTAAATTTTAATAACCTTTTTGTTGAAAACCTTTCAATTTTCAAAATAACTTAAGTTAGGTTAAGTGATCGACCTAACTTTCATGTTTTTAAATGATCACTTGGCGCCCACAAGGTAAGTTGTTGTGTGCTATAAAAAATCACCAGAACACATTTTGACACAAACATTAATTTTTCTACAAGAATCCACTTTTGAACCCTGCTCTCCGCAACATAAACAGTAAAGCTGCCGTCAGCAAAGTAAGTAGAAAAAAAATACGCCACAAGGTACCGCAACAAAAACAAATCAAATTTACATCTGTCACTTCTATTTTCTATTTTTTTTTCATTTTTGGTTCTTAAAATCACTTTCAAGTAAAAATACAATTTAAAGTTTGAATTTTAAATGTCAATAATTAATAGATGCACTTTAATGTGCTTAAACGATAAAGTAGATAAAGGTGCCTTTATACTTCAATTCGATATAAAATTTCGATAAGACTTAATAAATAAGATTGGAGATTAAATTTTTGGGTACTTTAGGCATGATGTGAATAAAAAATATAAAATAATAGTCAAAGAGTAACGCTTATACCGAAACCCATTTACTTTGTTGCCTTTTCAATTTAAATAGTAATTAAAAATTTTTAAAAAATTATACTTTTTACCAGAAAAGCATTAAACAACTTTACCTTATAATACTACTATAGTATAGTATACGACAACAAAAAAAAATTCTATTTGACATTTATCTACCCATGACTTTGTATGGAGTCCCTGTATCTTTTTGACAAAAAAACATCCAAAATAGATTTAAGGCAAAATAATTTAATAAATAATCAAAAACTTTCATTTTGAAATAATTGGGCAGAGAATTTTATTACGCAATTATTTCGAATCCTAGACGTCCTGGAGCAAAACGAGTGGCATTTTTAAAATCAGCAGCCCTAAATTAGGTAATATAGGTGGGCGTACTCAATGTTAGTAATTCGAAGTTTATCATTAGGGATGGGATTTTAGTTATTTTACCTTTTTTAACCGATGTAACTATTTGAAAACCAATAATGCCAAAATGTGTTTTAAAAGATTTTCTTTTATATGAACCTAACTTGTTTTTACCTTTTTTTACCTTTTTTGGAGGTTTTTGCTTTAAACTACCTTTTTATACTATTGTTACATATTTTTTAATTTGTCAGTTTATTTTACTTATTTACTTATTTTATTTTATTTTTTGGGTTCTTTTTAAATTTTGCGCCAATATTTTATCCAGGGCGTGCAACTCAACGGTATAGAATTTTTTCTTATGGTCACAGACTGTAACAGTAACTTTCTTTGCAGTTACCTTCTTTGTAGTGAGCTTATGTTCTGTCATAGAACTTCTGTGTAGTGAGTGTCACGAGTGACACTGAGTTCAGTGAAACACAGTTTATTGCATAGAAATAGTTTATTGTGGGTATGTTCTGTTTTTGGGTATGCGGCTAAACAAAATTATAAAAAATGCCCAAAACCAAAGAAAATCCTCTAAATAAACTCAGCAGTTGGATAGAGGGGAAGAATAAGATATTTTCTATTGACGGAAAAAACTTATTTTGTAGAGTTTGCTGTAAAATTGTAAGGACTTTGAGGTTATGTTAAAACATTTTTCTTTAATTTATATACATTTTTGCTATCTGTTGAGCAAAAATCACATATATATCAACATGAAAAGTCAATTAAATCTGAAAAATCTGAAAAATTCGGCCAAATAGCAGAAAATTCAGGGGAAAATTTCGCCTCAAAATATAGAAAAGATTCTTATTTGTTACTCAAGTAGTAAAGTTACATAGTGGGTAAATATTAGGTATTCCATATTTTTTAGTTCCTTCTTGCTTTAAGTTATATAAAAAGTTTTATTTTATGTTACTTTATCGTTTGTTACTATAGTAGTAAATTTGGTAAATATCAGGTATTCCCTGTTATATTTTCAGTTTCTTATAGCTTTAATTAACTATTGGTCAGTTTATAAAAATAAACGAAACTTGAACTTCTAATTTTTTTTTTTACCTAAAATGCTGTTTTTTTAACCTAAAATGCTTTTTTTAGTTACCTATTTTTCAGTTTTTAGTAACTAAATATCCTATCTTTAGTTGAGGAGCATCCGTGCAAAACAGGCTATATCCACTTTAATAAAATGTTGGGAAAATGGCAAAAACTCTCGGTTTCCTGGCCTTTACTGATAAAAGAAAAAGCAAACTTAAGTTTTGTGGGCTTTGTGGTACTTGATTTATAAGACATACTTTCGTTTTCAAAAACTTTATATTAAGGCCAAAATTTCAAAAAATGTTTTGTATATAGCCGGTTGTGCTCAAAAACCGAATAAAATGTGAAAAAAACCTTTATTATTCAAAAATATTAACAAAATAAATTTAGTGCAAACATGAAAAAACAGAACAAATTTTAGTAGTAGTATCGACATATCCAAGCAACATGCTCATCATCATTATTATTTATTGGATATAGCCGGGTTTGCTATAAAAACGTGGATTTGGCCTGTTTTGCTCCTAAAGCTACCTTTTAAATGTGATTTTATCATGGATATAGTCGGATTTAAACAGAATTATCTTGGTTGTCGATAGAAATGAACCCAAAGATGCGAAATCAAAAGAAAAAAACAAAAACTGAATAAAATGGATTTAGCCGGTTTTGCACGGATGCTCCTCAGTTATGAATAAACAAAATGTAACTTTCAAATAAGATTAATAATGTTCTTGACAAGTAACCATTTAATAATTATGTATCCATTATCAACACCATAACTTTTATTATTGTTTTCCTAAATTTCACACGCAATTTTCTCATTTTCTTTTACCTTTTTCCAAGTAACACGATATTCCGTAATGACCGCTTACTCCTGTTTAAGTGATTAATAGCAGAATTATTATTTTGCAACGAAATCACCAAAAAAAAATTAAAAATTTGTGGCTGCACTATAGGAATGTTCCAAAGACGAAAATTCAATTTTCAAATAGTATTACTTTTATGCTTTATTATGAAATAGGCTTGCAAAGAAACCCATTGGTGCTGATTGGTTAACCCTATACAATAATATGAATCGTCTTACCTTGCAAACTGAACAAATGACTAGAACTCTTAGCTTCAGCTGCATTAATCCAGTTGGCGTAGAGAACAGATGAAGGCGGTATTCCTTGATGAAGCTGGTGAAGCTGATTGTAATGATCCGCCGACGGTGGAGTTAAATTTCGATTCGGTGACAGCTGCGAAGCTGAAATGAAGCTTAGAAGTCCCGGGTCCGGCGGCATTTCTTCAGATCGTCCATACTGCTGTAGATCGATCAGAGATTGGTATAAAGAGACTGCAATGAAGAAAGCAATGAGAATATTTGAGACCTGTCATAGCAAAACCGACAATCTCCACTTTTGGTCAAAAGTTAGATTTTTGGCGGAGACTGTACTTCAATGAATTATCTATAAGATGATAAAGTTTATGTGCTGCAAAAGGAGCTAAATCCTGCCTAAAATCCTATTTTAAAAATGACATTTAGTGCAAAGTCGACTATCTCCACTGATAGATTTCCAGCAAAGTATACAATCTCCAATTCCACCATTAGAAATTAGTAATTTGTGTCACCTGATATCCTAACATTTGATGTTATAACGTATTTTAGAGATTTAATTTTGGTTTTTTTTTACTGGTACATACTGTTAAGTTCTATTGCAGTAAATGGCACTTAAAAATATATTTAAAATAGGTATATATACGTTTTATTGTTTTAAGAATTATAAAAAAAGTTATCTTGTCTACTTTGTGCTATTATACCATAATAAGACGTAAAGGTAAAGCAAGAAAAGGCTGATAATGTCAAAACATTGCAATTAAAACATTAAGTGGGAAGAAGATGATGAGTACAATAAAAACTTCTTTGCCGAGGCAACCTGGTCCTAGATTTAGAAGAAACTCCAGATTTATGTGGTCCAGTTCAGAATTTTCCCACATTGATTGTATAGTTAAATTTTATACCCATTAAAGGAATAAAAAAACAATTATTTTTTTGTTTATTTTTCTAAATCTCCTTAAACGTTTACAACAAAATGAGCAATCTCCAGCAATTCATATCAAAGTCAGCAATCTCCAATTTATAATTATAGATTTCACCTATACTATGCATCTTGGAGACCTTGTAGTTAGCTACTAGACTAACAACAATAATATTTCAATATAATATATAAAAAAATTACAAATCTAGAATTTAAAATACCAAAATCAATTATCTCAATTTAATCAGTTTTAGTCTGATGGGAGATTGTTGACTCAATTTTACAATAAAACATATTCAACATTACCTCCTCTTGAAGTGACTTGTAGTGGGGTTGGTTTGATGAAATTGAAATGTTTTTGACACTTATCACTATCACTTTGTTCACTGTCTTCCCTATGATCTTTTTTGAGCCCTAAAATATTATCTATACTAAACTTATTGGTAGCACTGGCATTAGCACTTGGTTCACGTGTGTAATCCTTAACTACAGTTTCATTATCCTCATCCTGGGACGTGACATCCACGCATTCGTCCTCGCAAGAAAAATCACTATCGTCTTCGGAAACGTCCTGGTTTAAGTCCATTTTGATGTTTTTTGTGGTTGCTCTTATAGGTATTAGTGTTTTGTGCTGATGGGTCGGATTATGAGTGTTTTGAATAGCGCGCGGGTGTTTGGAAACACGGTCCATTTGCTGAATCAACTAACACCTTAAAGATTGGCTCCTCCTTCACTTTTAAGTTCCCCTCCGCTTGCCGCTGCTTTTTTACGCTCATGCAGGGACGAATTAGGACAAGTTTAGCCTTATTTATTCTACTATAAACAATATAGTGAATTGCGGGAATAATAAAATGCTTATTGTAAAATAGTATATTATGTATCAAGTTTGATAAACGCCATTTTATACACGAATTTAATTTAGGCACGAGCGAGCTTGCGAGCGAGTGCTTAAGTTAATGAGTGTATAGCAAAGTTTATAAACGAGGTGCATACTACTATTTCTACGACAAATACTTATTATTATCTTAAAATGATTTAAATCAAAAATTTGTATAGAGCGCCATCTATGAAACAACAGGGGAAACTGTCAAATGTCACATTTTATAAACACAATTATAAAGGTTATAAATCGAAATGTATCTTGAAAATTAACAGTTATTCACAGTGAAAGTAAAGGAAATGTTTTATGAGGACTTTACAGTAGAGTCCGTGCCCGAATTTAAGTTATAGTTTACTGCCGGCGAAATTAAAAGGTCAGTACAATGTTCATATAAACTTTTCAAATATTGGCGTTGAGAAACTATTTGATATTTTTGTATTTTTGTATTGAGATAATAAAATAATTTTCACATTTAGTATTATTTTACAAGAAAGGCACTTTATTTTAACGATTGTATGACATTTGACAACTGTCAACTAACTTAAAACTAACTTCAGCCCGTGACTAAAAACCTGTTGCTAACTTCAGCCCGTGACTAAAGCGCCGTAAAGCCACAACTTGTCAATGTGTATGTTTGTTGCGACGGTTATTATATATTTGCCCGCCGCGGCGATTTTATAATCTAATTAATAAAATTAACTTATTATTTTTATTAAACAACATTTTATGAAAGGGTCCAATCGACCTCCGCGACGGTGCTTTTTTTAAATATTATTTAGTTTCTTCTGAGGAGCAGTAGACACATCTTAAAATGTATAATGGGTTGCATAAAATACTCGTATTAAATCGGCAGTAAAGTTCTACTTTACTTCCGATTGTTGACTACTTTACTGCCGATTTCGGATAAAATATTTTTTTTATACTTTTTTTACTGGAAAAAATTATTATTAGTTGCTATAAGAAAATATTGAGAAATTTTTAGGGTGTAGTTTTTTATTAAAGTTGCTAAGACTATATAGTATACATGGGCTGTTTATTATTGCTAAACAGTTTTAATCATAACGAGACATTGAACCAAAATTATCAATCTGTCATTCTCGTCTAGAAGATCCGGCAACACTGGATTACGAATACGTGATTATCTAGGGATATTTGGTTTAACCTATTTGCCCAAGTAACATTTTTAGTTTTATTAGGGTCTTCAAGAACGCTTTAAAACAAAATTTTGTTTTAAAGCGTTCTTGAAGACCACAATAAATCTTTGAAGATCATAATAAAACTAAAAATGTTACTTGGGTACCATGATTTGGTTTTTAAAGTAAACTATTAAAAAAAAACAAAATTGTATTAAGTTATTTTTTTAAATAATTAGACAATCCTTTTACCTTGGTTTTCTTCTCTTTGTTTTCTTCTCTTCTCTTTAGACTTTCGCCACATTCAACTTACTGCAAGTTTTCTGTTGCTCTATTCTTTGTTCTCATACCATTTTTTAATAATTTTTTCTTTGTAATGAACTTCATTCGTTTTCACAACTCATTTTCAGATTTTTAATAACACTGCATATAGAACTGTCACTGCCACTGTCAAAAGCATATAAACCAAGCATCAATTCAATTATAAACCAAGCATAATTCAAGTTTTTGTGTTACAATATATGAGGCCTGTCAGAGCAAAGTCAACAATCTCCCGTCAGACTAAAACTGATTAAATTGAGATAATTGATTTTGGTATTTTAAATTCTAGATTTGTATTTTTTTTTATATATTATATTGAAATATTATTGTTGTTAGTCTAGTAGCCAACTACAAGGTCTCCAGGATGCATAGTATAGGTGAAATCTATAATTATAAATTGGAGATTGCTGACTTTGATATGAATTGCTGGAGATTGCTCATTTTGTTGTAAACGTTTAAAGAGATTTAGAAAAATAAACAAAAAAATAATTGTTTTTTTATTCCTTTAATGGGTATAAAATTTAACTATACAATCAATGTGGGAAAATTCTGAACTGGACCACATAAATCTGGAGTTTCTTCTAAATCTGGGACCAGGTTGCCTCGTGCAAAATTTTTTTTATAGTACAACAACTCATCATCTCTTAAGTGCAATTTGCTGCAATAGAACTTAACAGTATGTACCAGTAAAAAACACAATCTAAAATACGTTATAACATCAAATGTTAGGATATCAGGTGACTCAAATTACTAATTTCTAATGGTGGAATTGGAGATTGTATGCTTTGCTGCAAATCTACCAGTGGAAATTGTCGACTTTGCACTAAATGTCATTTTTAAAATAGGATTTTAGGCAGCATTTAGCTCCTTTTGCAGCACATAATTTTTGACCAAAAGTGGAGATTGTCGGTTTTGCTATGACAAATCTCATTCTCATATAACAATATACTTTTAAATACAATTTTGTCGTTCTTAAAGAACATCTTATGTTCAACTGAATCCTTTAAAAAAATCCTTCGGTCCGTTCCTGCCTGTTACTCATCACGTGTTCATCTCGCAGTCCTGCCGAATTCTTGCCTATGCACAGATTGGTGTTTCGCGTGTGTTCCAGCTAACCACCTGAAATCCATCTTCGCCACCTTCACAATGCCCGGTTTTACACCCTTATTACCCACAGACAGCCGCCTGTGCCTCACGCCACACGCGGCACCCGCTAAAACGCTCCCATGAACGTCGTCCTACGCTTACTTAGATCATATATCATCAAAGCAGGCCGCTCTTCCTCTGCGCTAGCAGTAGAGGAAGTAAATTATATTTTTGTATTAATAACCGAGGCGATGTTTTTGGGAAATCATTACAGGTAACTTTGCTACCAATTTTATTCTAACATGCTTTTTGCGAAAAAAACATTTAAGTCGGTTTCATATAGATGCGAATTGCGAAATACGAATATTCTCATTTCGCAACTTCTATTTCATAGAAATGCGAAATATTTTAGGGACATTGTTTTCTCACTAGGCGATATTTTCCATGCTTTTTTAGGTACTATGATCCACACCTTAAAGTCCCACCACGTGACCACGTACGAAACGCAGTCTTTTGAAAATTTGGCATCTGTCAAAGTATAGTCAACGAAAGAAATAATATTATGTTTAGGCGTTAAAAATGTATAAATATTTATAACATTAGAATAACAATGGATGGTTTAAGAATTTAAGAATATAAATACTGCATTTAAAGAAATTCTAAAGTGTATGGTGCCAAATTAGTAATATTTTTGTGCATTTGGTCCAAATATCTGGTTTTCTCCATAAAATAATTTTAACTAAACAGCATTTATTAAAAAAAAACTAGCTTCTCTATTATGGAATAAGAATATCTGTATTAAAGGTAGGTTAATATATTATAACAAAAATATCATCTAATTTTGTAATTTTAAGGTTAGAAAAATTTATTTTCACCAAAATAAATAAGTGTTTTGGATTATTTAAAAGACTGTATAATATGGTATTTAAAAATGTGGTAGTTTTTCTTATCCAGCTTAAAGTGTACCTACATAAAGTTTTGTCAATACAAATAGTTAAAAAGCTTCGACTGAATTTGATCTACATCAAAAAATCATTATAACTTTAAAAATTTTAATAAATCACATGTCATGGGAGTATTAAATATTTTCACATTGCAAGTTTCTCTAAAAATTGTTTGTTTTCTTATAATCTAACTTAAAGTAAGTATGCCGAGAGGTATGCACAAGTTTTGTCATTAGAAGTATAAAAGCCTCAATTTAATTTGAACTATATTCAACAATTATTTAGTATACCTATATTTATTTATGACCATATTAACACACTCTTTCAAATAATCCACTTATTTATTTTGGTCAAAATAGATTTTTCTAACCTTAAAATACAAAATTAGATGATATTTTTTGTTCTCATTCGTTAACCTACCTTTGATACAGATATTCTTATTTCATAATAGAGAAGTTAGATTTTTTTAATAAATGCTGTTTAGTTAAAACTATTTTATGGAAAAATGTAGACCCAATGCACAAAAATATCGCTTATATTGCACCTTACACTTTGGAATTTCATTAAATGCAGTATTTATATTCCTAAATTCTTAAACCAACCATTGTTATTGTGATACTATAAAGATTTATTAAGTTTTAACGCTTAAACATAAGCGGTAACACTATAAATATGATTTCTTTCATTGACTATACTTTGACAGATACATAACCTGAAAAGCCTTAAATGCCAAATTTTCAAAAGACTGCGTTCCGTACGTGGTCGTACGTGGTGGGACATAGTACCTCAAAAAACTCTGTCCATTATAAAAAAAAAACTTTAAACACTTACTTAAACAGTTACGCCAAATTAGTGCGATTTTCGCAAAATATTGGATCAATGCGAATTCGCATGATCTTTTGAAACGCTTTTCCCGCCAAGTCAAATGGACCAATGGGAGCATTTTTCGCATTTCGCATCTACATGAAACGGGCTTTATAGTGTATTCGCTTAAAATTTTTCTCTTATTTACACAGGCATTTATATTAGCTTTTGTTATCAATTTGTGAAAAATATTTTAATTATATAAGTTCTTTTGTCTACTAGCGTGCGCAAAGTTGCACTTTTCCGCACGCATTTTCATTTAAAATGTACGTAAAAAATTAGTTAGATAGTTAGTTAGTTTCCATGTCAATAAGTGTTAAACAAAGTGAAACGTCATAAGATTTTTCGCGAAATTGAA